AGGAGGATTTGCATGACTATCGTCCTTTCCAGAAAAATGCTCTTTGTATATTAAATATGTGGAGGACACTTTTCATGCCCGAATCACTCTACCCCTTAAGGTCCCCAAGGAAACTCTTGTGTGACCCCCCCGCCCCAGCACCGCAGGCTCGTTTTCAAGCTTTTCTTTTATCAGAATTCCCTGTCTCCCCCCAAAAACCCGAGTCCCGGCTACTGAGCCACGGCTGGGTCTGGGATCTGTGACCCTGCCTCCTTCTCTAGACCAAGCTCCTCAAGGACAGGACTCGTGTCAAAACCCAGGCTTGCTTCTCCTCCATACGACAAAAGACCGGGGTCAGAGTTCAAACAGGAGCCACCGGTTCCCGGGCTTGGAAGACTGCTCGGAAATACCTGGTCATTTCCAACTCTTTACCTTACGGAGGAGGAAACTGCTCCCCCCAAATGTCAGTTCGTGACCAAGCAGGGTCCCCGGACGCCGGGGCCTGCCCAGCCTTATCCCGAGCAGAGGGCGGCGACGGCACCCTCAGGGGCAGGGAGCGCGTTCCCGGAGTCATCCCCGCCCACAGTCCGCGGGCACAAAGCCGGCGGCTGCCCCACGCCCACCGCCAGGGCCGGGACCCGGGCGGGACTCTCACCTCGCTGCCGTGCCGCCGGGGGAGAAACCCCGTCCGGGAGTCTGGTCCGGGAGCAGCCGCCAAGAGCCGGAGTCCAGCTTCCAATTCAAACTGCCCGCGGCCGCCGCCGGCGTTCGATTCTCCCGCTTCCGGTCCCGACCACACTCACCTCCACGCCTATTGGGCACTATAAGCAGCTGTGGGCCAATCCGCGTCCGCGCACTCCGACTGCCGCCTCTGATTGGCTCTTTTGGATGGATTTAAAAAACAAGTCCTCCTGCGCCAGGGTTAAGGTGGTTTCTTGTTGTTGCGGGGAGACCGAGACCACGTGCTTTTGCTGAACCGCTAGTTTCGCAAAAGGCGGGGGGATGGGCGGGCTGATTAGGAGGGTGTGGTCTATCACCGACAGCCAGTGGAAATGTGCTGTCTGGTGAAAATTTTTATATGGTGCACATACAAATCTACTTATGTATTAAATATATAAGTTAGGACCTAGCTACTAGGTACTATGCTGGCTGTGCATTCTTTTTCCAGTGTCATTCTTAACAAGTCTCTGAGGAAAGTATTATCCTCATTTTATTTAAGAGTTAACTGAGGCACATAG